TTCATCAATGACAATGGAGGATACCTGTTATATCAATCTTATATGATATCCCTGCAGCAGTCAGTGACCTGGCAATATTTTTTGCAACCTCTTCATACTGTTGATTCTGAACTAGTGGAAACACAGTGCACTTGATGGGTGCTACCAATGGAGGAAATCGGAAGACATTGAGTTGTTCATCCCCATCTTTGCTAGGTCTAGTATAGAAGGAATGCTCATAAAGACAATATATTATCCTTCCAATACCAAAAGAAGGTTCAATAACTGACGGTGTGAAAACTTTCTGGTGTTCCTTCTTTATTTCTTTCGAGATTGTCACCATATTACTCTTGATGGTAACAACTCTGTCAAGAGTACAAACATGAAACTCTGCTTCTCCTTTAGACTCCAGGGTCGCTTTCAACTCCAGAGCTTCTTTCTCCGCCATGGCCTATATGGAAATAAAGCGATCATAATCATCATTCCAGAAAAGCAAAACCTTAAATTTAAGTCACCATGCTTGCTAGAATATTGTTCCATGGTGACAAAGTAAATTCGTGTGCATGCAGAGCAATCTTCTATTACTTTCACCCTTCTGTACGAACCTAAAGTTTCAATGTTTTACCTAAACAATCTGCTCCTCCAATCAGAATCAGTGTTTGCCCCATTTCCAAAGTCAAAAGGTGAAAAGAACAAATGAACAGTTAAGGAAAGAAAAGGACCAGGGAAAACACAGAGGGCAAAAAGACAACCAAGAAGCGGGACAGCCTTACATGTACAAAAGAAATCAACTTATATTAACTTAATGCACAACGGCACAAAGCATACCTCCAGAGCTTCAACCACCATCCTTTGATTACCTTTGAATGCAAGGCCTAGTTCCTTCTTCACGGGAGCTATAACAAGTTTCTGAAAGAGCAAGTAACATGAATTCATAAAGAGACTCTAAAAGAAGCACAAAAATATTTTGCAAGTGAAGAGAGAGAGAGACCTCCACTTCTCTAGGTTCTGGAAGTTTTTCATGTGCAACCAGAGGGACGCCACTTTTATCCTGCCAAAGAAAGAAAAAAGGGGAAAAAAAATAACTTTAACGGCTAAGTTCAGAATGGTATGATTTTCAAGGTCCTTCCATTCAACAAAAATCATAACACCATTGTCCAAGAACACGTTTATACAACATAAAATGGTCAGACTATTCCACCAAGCCATCCATAACCAAGGATAAACAAGTCAAAGTTGGTACAGGAACTTTGCAAATCATCCAAAAAAAAAAAAATAGAAGACAAATGCTGTTGCAAAGTAGAACAGACTGTGAGATAGAGAGTTCATATTATTATAGCACACTTAAAATGATTGCAACAGATTTCCAGATTAAAACTGATCATTCAAAGCCAATTTCCTGATTATAACATTCATCCAACTCCTGTTTGCAATACAAAGGGAATTTCAAGAAATGAATATTCTAATTCCACAAAAATCCTTAATGACCGATAAAAAATTCTCACCGTATGAGCACGCAAATCATAAGCTGATCTATCAGCAATACCAACACATTCAATCCAACCATAAGAACATTCAATTTCAGCATCCCAGCAGTCCGCAGCATAGTGTGCCATCTCATTTGCCAGATGTTGGCGGAACCGCAACCGATCTCTATCAATCCCAAGATAAGTCAAGAAAAGGTACACTCTCCCAATGAAATATCCCAGTGTTTCATTGTTCACAATCCCCTGCAAAACAGCAGTAACTGTTCCTTAATACAGAGTATACCACATGTATAAGCCCCTTTGGGGTTACACATATATGCACACGCTCAGCTCTTCAAATCAATGCAAAAAGTCAAAAATAGAGTGGGAGGGTCTGAGGTAGATGATTCTCAAACTAACCTGAGCAACTGCTTCACCAATAGGAATTCTCCTTGCTGATCGTCCTGACACCTGGTCTTCCCTAGGGAACATCAAAAACTCCAACTTTGCAACTTCAGAAAATTTTGGATGAGCCTTGTCCTCAGGATCCACAAAGTGCTCAATCTCGGCCAGTGTAAATTCACGGACTCTGAGAAGACCTTGGCGTGGAGAAATCTGCATATACATGGTTCAACCTCTACCACTTAAAAATCAAATTCTGAACAAAGAGGTATCATATATTAAAAGCAAATGGTGCATGAAAACTACTCAGGCGAGAAATCTAACCAATAGATGGCAAATACTGATCAGTTTATCATATCTAATAACAATAATACGTGTCTACCTATGTCTATGGTCCTCCTTGGTACTCAACCATGATTATCTCCTGTAGTGCTTTTATTGTGGTTTGTTAGAAGTAATCCACAAGTATAATCAGTCTTTGACCTCCATTGCTAGACAACAACTAATTACTACTGCCATGACAATGTCATATTGTAAAACACTGTTCTATGCTTTTACAAGGAGCATGTGCATGACTAAGTACAAAAAAGGATAGCAGGAAAGAAAACCACTTCTCTTCATGACAACTATAGCTTCAAGATGTCAATTTAGAATTTTCAAAAATCAGAAAACCAACATAACAGGTTTTTGACTTATGCAGGACATAAACATGATAGGTGAAAGACAATTGTGATTCAATTATGATAACACATATGATAAAATAGATCTTAGAGTAAGATTGTAAACCTCATTCCTAAAAGCTTGACCAATCTGTGCAGCAGCAAAAGGGAGCTTGCTCCCATTGTAGTAGTACAAATCCTTGAAATTCACAAAGATGCCTTGAGCTGTCTCAGGGCGCATATAACTGCAGCCAAAAAAAAAAATTTTTTTTCACAACACTTAAGAAAGAAAGATAAGCAAAACCCCGGAAACAGAAGTGCCAAACAAATAAGAAACTATGTACTTTCTTTTGTAATATAAACCCTGTAAATTATCTGCTGCAGCTCTAAACAAATAAAGGTAAAATGGGGCATAGAGTTTTAGTGATATTCTTACCCTGGGAGCGTTCCAGATGGCCCAATTGAGGTCTGGAACATAAGATTAAAAGGGTAGGGGTCAGAAAGAGGATTCTTGGTATCTGGAGCAACAATTCCATACTCCTTAAGTTTAGCACCCAACTCTTCAGCAGAAAGATCATCCAAAACTGCAAGAACATGCCTGAATTCTGCCTTCTTCTCATCACTGAGATTAGGTTCTTTCTCAAGCTTCTCTTTACAGAAATCCTTTAGCAAATGATCAGCTCTGTAACAATTCCCAGTCTTTTCATCTTTCACCATAAGATCAGTAAACTTATCAACATGTCCCGATGCCTTCAGCACTACTTCTGGGGTCACACAAGGGCAATCGACTTCCAACATATTCTCTTCCAATACAAAATGCTGAATTTATTCAAAATCACAACACCCATTGTCAAAATCATCAATTTTAATCCAGGCCCAAAACGAAAATGGAAAAACAAAAAAAATATTGAGGAACAAGCTTAATATTATGCCTCAGCTTGGTTTGATTAAACTTTAATGTGTGCTTATCCAACCCGAGCTTATTCATTCGCTTGGCTCGGCTGGATTTGTTGACGAACCAATCTCGACTGAGCCAAGCTCTCCCAGCTCTAATCTAGCCATAGATTTTTTTCGTTTTTCAATCCTAATTATCGTAATTATAGTTAGTTGAACTAACTTTTGAAAGAAAAATCAGAATTCTACTCAAATTTCAAATTTCAAATTTCATCTGGGTCATGACAGACAGATTACATAAAACTGAGACATAATTGGCCCTCAAAAGCCAGTCTTGCAGACAATTAAATGAATAACAAAACATCCAAATCAGAATTCTAGTACGAATAAAGAGAAATGAGTAGACCTGACGCCAGAAGGCGAGGACGTTGGCCTTAACGGCACAACCGGGAGGGCCATAGTCATAGAGGCCAGCAACGCCACGGTAGATCTTGAATGAGGGGATGTAGAATAGACGGCGTTCGAGAGTGTTAACGACGGCCTGCCGGAAAGCTTCTCGGTTGTGGGCTTCTCGAGCAGCGTCCATTTTGTCCTTTTATTTTCCTTCTCTTTCAGCTGAGAGAATTTCAGAGCTCGAGAGTGGACTTGATAATTGAGTAGAAAGGGGAAAAAATTACTACTGTCAGTGTTGGAGATATTTTAGACTTTAGACAAAGACTGAAAAGCAATTTGGGTTTTTAGTATTGCATAATGTGTTGTACCTTGTGGAAAGAAAGTTGTATATTTTGGAAACGGCTTTTTGCCCTTTAAAAAAAAAAAAAAAAGCTTTTCTGTCCCGGTTCATATCGAATCTGCATTAATAATCGGTGGTGGAATTCATGAATCTTGTTGCGGTCCTGCCTTGCGCTCATAAGTTTAATTCCTACTTGAAAAGAATTTTTAGTTATCTCTTTTTTGTTCTATTCTATGTAGACTCTTATTTGAAAGAAAAAAATAATGATTTTTTCCTAAAATAAGAATTTGGAAATTCTAAATGTTAGAGCTTTTTTCTTTTTTTCTTTTTTTTTTTGGGAATGATGTTACTTTTAAAGCTCACAATAAAGCATTATCCCAAAAGAAAAAAAAATAAAACATATGAAAGAGAAAAAGAAACACAAGTGACACGATGTCGTTACGACTCGACTCACGCTAACAAGTACCAGCTGCCAGCTACCAAATACCAACTCTGACTCTGACAGCGTTCAAAAAAAAAAAAAAACCAATATCAATTAATCTCACCCGAAATCTCCGCCTGTTTCGGTTAGTTTATTACCACAAAAGTCTTAACTTGCTTGGTAAAAAAGACTAAAGCCTTGCTTGGTATAATCGGTTCTAAGTTTAGGCCTAGTAGCAACTACCCTATTTGGGGGTTCAGTCCCACATCGGGACTGTTAGGGGGGTTGAGGTAGTATATTAGTCTCCTGAGGAACCACAAAAGTTATTGATTTTTATGGTTTACTCGGGTTTCGGTTAGTTTATTACCACAAAAGTCTTAACTTGCTTGGTATAAAAAAAAAAAAAAATCTCCGCCTGTTCAAGCGTTAAGGATTTTGGCGCCAAAATGCATCGCTCCACAACTAGGTCTCCCTCTCCGATCGCCGATCTTCAATCGAAGCTCTCACGAATTGCTTTTCAACAAGAACAGCTCAAAATCGCATTCAATCATCTCCATTCTCACATCCGAACCAGTTTGATCGAAGTACTATTGTCGTGATTATCATTATCTGATCATACACTTCAAATATTAATTCAAATTTCGTGCTGTACATTTTCAAATACTGGAAGACTTCCATTTCTATATTTTTTTTGTCCTCCTGAATTGTGTGTGTGTGATTTATGTTCTTGTCAAAGGCCGAAGATGTATTTGCGTCTCTGGCGGTTCCATTGATGATGCTTGTTGGATTGAAGACCGGGGAAATGGCGGGCGAAGGACGATTCAGTTCCATTATTATCAATGATAAGAACAACTATTATCCTTCGAATTATAAAGTATTAGTATACTAATTTTAATCTCCTATTTGTTCATGTCGTGATTGTTCAGTGCATACTCATATCAAATTGGACATTGGTCCCGTGCGCGTGAATTTTTCATGTGTTGTGTGTTGTTCAATTTCTGTATGACGTAAATGCAGTAGATTGGTGGTGGCTATGAGGGGAATGGATGAAAACCTGAGGATTGGTAAATTTGAGGTGATCTCTTTTTTTGGCATAATCTTCCTGTTAGAAAATGTTCATCTTGTTGTGATTACTAAGAATTTCGCTGATCGCTGGTGTGCTTTTCTTCCGATGAAGAAGGACTATGTAAACAATTAATGGCAGAGGGGAGTTTTTTTGTCTATGGAATTCTCATTCTGAAGCAGCTCTTTCTTTTTCTTATTGTCTTTCTTAGGATATTGAATAGTATTTCTGTTAGACCTAATAATCCCTGAGCTTCCCCCCGTCCCTCAACACCAAACCCCCCCCCCCCCCCCCCCCCCCCCAACAAAAAAGGAAAAAAATATTGGTTTTCTATGCAAAGGGATTACTGATTAGGTTAAGCATTAGACTGAGAATATGGTTAGTTCAATGTTATTGGATTATCCAACTGCAGTCCCAAATTACACCGAGTTCTCAGCTTTTTGGTTGCTTTTCTAGTGAAGAAACCATCCAATAGCATTTGATGTGAGATGGCGACTTGTTGACTGTTTCAATTGGTAGGTTGTACTGATCATTTGTTTGCAGGGACTAAATGTTGCCGCTAAAGCCACCAAAGCATGCAAGGAGCTAATCCATAAACAAAAACTGCAGCTAATGCAATTAGTGCAGCTTCTGAAACAAATTGAGGCCCAGGTTAATTCTAGCCAAGATGACATCTTTCAGACCCTTGCTGATCAACGGGCATCTATCCAAAAATTATTTCAGCAAGCTGTTGCATATGTTTATGCCACTCACCAATCATGTCAAAGTAATGGCACCTCTATCAACATGGTAAAGCTTCTGAAAATCACGTATGACCATGTTGATTCAGCCCTTGGTTCAGTGGAGATTGGAGTGGAAAACCTGATGACTAAGCTGGGTGATAAAATGTGCAACCCAATGGTTCAGTATGTTAATGAACTTAAAACTGATGTTGTTACTGGAACCTGTCCGAATCTGCTGGCAATGGTGGAGGAGATTGGAGGAGAAATGAGGCTTCGAAGCCTACAGTTGGAGGAAGCAAGAAAAAGGGTGAGAGCAGTTGAAAAGAGTAGAATCGATGCTTTAAATAAGTTGAGGGAAACTGAAGGAAGAATGGAAATGTTGAAGGAAGAACAGAGTTTTCTTTCAGAAATAAAAGATGGTTCAAGAGGACATTCTGTTTCTGAGAAGGTATCCCTTAGTTCCTTTGACCAAATTCATTAAAGTTGCATACTTTCCTTGCAAATTTCAGATCATGATCACTCTATCACTCTAGTAAAACATATAGTAAAGGTAACTCCTTTACCAATCAAGATTATGCGGCTAAAGAACTAAGAAAATTTATCCATAAAGATGGGAAAAAATGAACTCTTTTATGTCCTTTTTCTACATTCAATCTACTATGAACAGCATAATATTCAAACTATACTTTTGATTCAGTTTAACACGGATATTCTATCATCTGCTTTATGACTTTACATTTGTGAATATCACATTACTCGAGCATCATCATATCAAATACATACATTGTCGGTTTCCTTAAGCCATTAGTTTTGACAATTTCTACTGAAAGTAGGTTTTGTACATTGCTAGACAGTAATCTTCTCTGAAGCAACTTGTTACGCAGATAGCTTAGGCAGTGTACTCTGGGAATTGTACCTTCTGTATTCTGATGCTTTCTATTTTTATGGGCTTCATGAGTATATGGTATGGATAGTCTTTTACGATCTAATCCTAAACTGTTTCCCCTGAATCTAGTCCGTGAAGCTTCTATATGCGGAGGAAGATCAAGCTAAGGATGAAAAGCTACTGTGGGAGCTACTTAGGAAAAAAAGAAAACTGCAAGTACCTGACAGTCCATTTGGAGCAAAGGAGCTTCTAGGCATTGGAACCTGTGAGAGATATCTTAGATCGAAAAGGGCAGTATCTCCAATCAGTTGCAGGCCAAATAAAACTAGCCAACTAGCAGGACTAACTCCACAAACTCCGAGGATCGAATTTCGGACACCATTGGGTTCTTCTCCTTCAACCACAATTCATCAAGTTCTGTCACGCAAGCGCATTACTCCCTGACCACATGGTTGAACAGATGCTGGGCTCCTTGCTTGTTGGTTGATCTAGGAGCAATTAACATGGCTTTTCCTTGGGAAGCTATCCTTTCTTTCTCACCTAGTGTAAATAGAGTGATTGCCAGAAGCAGTTAAGCGTACATTTGTTTCACCTCAACAGCACTCTCTTATGTTCTATGTAAAGTGTAAACTCTAATGGTAGGATGACTTGGAATTGGAATCTACGTCTTATGGTTGATATTGATTTGCTCGGAAGCATGTAATGATCAGATTCATGGCAAGTATGATTTCCTCTTCTTTTTTTTTTTTTTTTTTTCAAATCCTGCCCCTAATGCTCTAAAACCTCTTTTAGCAAATAGCTTTCCATCATTTGACTAGGCACGCTTGTTGAACCGGGTTTACTGAACTCTTGGCGCTACTCGTATTTTGCCATATTCTTGTGTGAATACTAATGAGATTATTTAGTAGCGTGTTGGGCCTACTTTTGTAGCCCAATAGCTGAGTATTCTAAAAGCTTAATTCATAGCAAGCCCAATTTCCACATGCTGGCTTAATTTCTTTTGCTCTCGGCGCCTTCTCTTTTTAATAAAGTAACTTTTTTTTTTTTTTTCCAAAAACAGATTTTCATGGCTAACCATTTGGCCAAAGTTGTTTAAAGAAAAGAAATCGTTTATGGGCTGTTCGTGGGAACTGGGGTGCCTTGGGCAAAGGGTCTCGGACTTGGCGGTAACCGGCACACAGCGGGAGCCGCCTAAGAATCATTTTTTGGCCATCTGTTTCAAGCAGCCTCCGCTCCCGCTTCTCCAAACCGCCACCTTCCACCGCCAACACCATATCAATATCACAACCAAGCAACTTAGTTGGCTCCTCAAACCACCCTCTCATTTTGTTTTCCTCCCTAAAAGCCCTCAGGAGCTTCCACTTCCAGGTTCCAAGTCCCAAGTGAGGGTTTAAATCTTGATTTTTAGGTATAAAAGGAAAATTTTTTAAAAAGAAACTCTGATTATCCTTTTCTCTTTATTATTCATCCTGCTGATAAAAATTGACCAAAAAATATTTTTTCTCTCTTGTGGGGCGGGGGGAGGGTGGGGGGGGGTCTTTGAATGTCATTAATCGTGGAATCAATATTATGTTCTTTAGCTACAGAGATTTGGAGAAAGTAGATTATATTGTCAAGCTCATACATATGATTTTATCATTGCTTATAGGTACTTTGTGTCTGAGGTCAATTTCTCCAAGACTGGAACTTTTGCTCTGCTAATCGTAAAAGATGGTACGACGTATTCCGACTTCTGTTTACATGTGTTTCGCTTTCTACTTGATTGTAGTTTAGCTTTTGCATGTCTTTATGAACATCTTTTGACCATGAATTTAAAAGATTTGGCATAATTTTGTTTTTGGAGTTAAACTTTTTGCTTGGCTTCAAGCAGAATTTGAGAGAATTGAATAACTGATGAAGGTGTCTACTTTTGTGAAAATTTTTCCAGTTCTGAACGCACAATGCATCAAAAAGGCTTAATTAATGTTCTTCTTTATGTTCGCCTTGCTACACACGTTTGTGCATCTTTTCACATTCGATGTCCTTTTCGACCCACATTTTCTTGTTTGCTCCTAGCAACTGTTGACAAACATATCAAATACTTCAACCTCGTTTAACTTCTTGTTGCAGGCAGCTAGAATTCTGGCAAATCTAATTGTAATTGGCTCAGGAGTAATGGCACGTGCTTTTGTCCAAGCGTATCGTCAGGCACTTGCAAGTAAGTTTCTTTTCTGCAGCTTATATATATATATATATATATATATATATTTTTTTCAGTTGTTATGGGTTGCAGCTTATATTTTTCTGCGTTTTAACTAGGCCGTACTAGTGCCAGAGAATTTGCCACCCAATTTTTCTTGTATCAAATAGGTCAATGAACTATTCAAAGTGATGTAGTATCTTCCCTCTGATAATGGTAGCTACTAACTTGGGTGATTTATGATGTGGGGGGCTTGTTGCGTTGGCGGGGAACTGGGCAAGAGAGGGGAGTGGGGTTGTTCTGGAAGTGCAATTATAGGTGCCGAAGGGCCATGTTGACTTGCTAGGAGTGGATATCAAGGGCTGGGAAGAGTTTGGTTGAGCAAAGTGGTAGTGTGTAGAGTTCACAATTCTAATGTATACTTGGTGGAATCAAATGCAATCCTGTTATATAACAGAGCACAGTGGTATTCATTGAAAATCTAAACGTGTGCTTTTTGAGCTTCATTATTGCACAATAAAGTCAGCAATTAAAGCCCTAGGAGGAAGAGAATCTGAATTGATGATTGTAATGGAATGTTATTGACTTGAAACATTTCGGACTTTCTAATCTGGTGGGAGGAGTAAGGCTTTTAAATACGGTTGATAAATTAAAGTTAGTTCTTTGAGATTTGCTTTGCTGTTGGGTGATTTGCAGGCCATCACGGCAATGTATATAGGGGGCTGGCAGGGTGAACCTTTTGTGTGGTGGGGATGGGAGAGAGGTTGGTGGGTGGGCTGCCGGTGGTGGTGGTGGTTTGCTCTTGTATCAGAGTGGAACTGGAAAAGGAAATTAAAAAGGGAAAAATGGCTGAAGGGAGAGGTTAAATTATAATCATGAACTAACACTAATTGAAGGACAATTATATACTTTCCCAGGTTCAGTGGCTTATTGATATTAGATGCAAGAAATAAATTGTTAACCAAAACTTCACAATCTGAAGATATATTTTTGGGCAATTTAGAAATTTTGCCCCTACTTAGAGAAGCATTGCTTATGATATCTTGTGGTGAGACCTTCAGATACTAGCTTTTTACTGCATTACATGTTGGTGTTTGGTTGATCAGAACTAACAAGAATCTATCCAGTAGGATAATGTGTTGTTCTCTTGTCACTTTAGCTAATGAAATTGACTAGCATAGCATGAAAAGGAGAAGTATGGCATTTCATGTATGATAATCATTCCATACATGAAAGTTGAAACTCATGCACTGTTATTGCCTGCTTTGGAAAGTTTCTACAGTAAATAGTTGAATAACTTGTTCCTGACTAACAACAGACGCTTCAAGAAGTGGTGCTGCTCAAGAAGCAGTTCAGACCATCAAAAGAGCAAGTAAAACCATGACCGAGTCAGAAGCAAGGCAAATTCTTGGCGTGGCAGAGAATTCATCGTGGCAAGATATCTTGCAGGTCATTACTGCGTTGATTCTATTTTTTTGTGTTGTGATCCTTTTGCATTTTAGCTTGACATTGTTCCTTCCACCTGCAGAAGTATGATACCCTGTTTGAAAGAAATGCAACAAATGGGAGCTTTTATCTTCAGTCAAAGGTTCATAGAGCCAAAGAATGTTTGGAATCTATTGAGCAGATGAAAGCGCAGGGGCCAAGTTAAGAGAGTCATTTTGCTTTCGAGGAGAGCGTAACTCGATGAGCCATTCTCTTTCTGCTCAACTTGGGTCATTTAGCAAGTGATTCAAGGGTTCATCCTTGTTTACCTCGTGTTATTTTTCACAACCCGGTTTGACATTTATATTAAGGAATGACACTGGAATCCGTTACCTCCGCGGCTCCTCCTAACGCCACCATCTAAATGCTGTGCCTCAGATTCTGTCTGTTCTGGCTTGTGCCCATTTGCTTTGCTCTGAGCTAGTGTTTCACGTCTTCTTCGCAACAAAGACAGTTACTTTGTTGGAAAAGAGGATGAATACAAAATTAGCCTAGAGTATTTTACACTGATGAAGTCGAGGATCGATCTTTAACTTAGGGCTCCATTGCATTGAAGAGAACTTCTCTACATTACTTATTAACAAAAATATATTTGGAAATTTTTGTTTTAAAAAAAAAATCAACACCGTTGATGATCTATTAGCACTTCTATGGTTATGTATAAAATTTTGTAGGAAATTGACTAAGTTTTGTCCTTTCATTAATTATCACAAATTTTATTATAATTTTGATTTTTTTAACCATTCAAATATTTCTTGTGAAATAAATATCAAAATATATTTTTAAAAATATTAATTTTCAGTACGTTGATCAAGGAATAAAAAAAAAAGGTAAAATGATGTAATAGGATGATTTTATAAAGTGATAGTAATAGGGTGTAAATAAATGGAGAGAATTCGCTAATACGGAAATCAAAGCAGCATGTTGGATTGATTTGAGCTTAAGAAGGGGTGCGTTTGATAAACCTGAATTTTAAAAACTGAAATTTAAATTTTGAATATATTAAGTTATTAATTGTTAAGTATTAAATTTGATATATTTAAGTGTATATATCAAAATAGGTGAGAAGTGAACATGTTAACATTTGAACTCATCAATTCTAAATATTGGATTAGATTATCAAACCAAGATTTAACATTAATGTTGAATGGCTTATGGCGTAGATTAGCTGCACTTATTGGTGAGTGACCGGACCTAATTGCCAACTTCATCCACACGTTACAGTGGGCGGCCCAGGAAACTGACTCTCTCTAGTTGAACAAAAGTGGTCCAGTGACCTACACATTGGTGTTTGGTCAAAGTTTTGATTTTTTTTGTTTGAAAAGGGCGTTGGGTCAAAGTTGAGCGACGTTCTATGAGGCCCAAGTTGATTGTTGGTAATTTTCAAAAGACCTTGCCCAGCATTAACACGCTCTCGATCCACATTAACGGGCTCGGGTTGTATTCTTGATTTTGAAATATTTGCATTGCAGTGGACTTTTATAAAGGAGCCTGCAAATTTGTCCCGTTTAAATTAAGTCTGAATTTTCTCTTAGCAGCAAGAAAGAGCTTTAGCTTGCAGCGATCATTTCAATGGGTTCACATAATCATCAATCAGTGTGAGAGTTGACAAACATTAAATTTTAGTTGACCTAATTTAGTTCATGGCTGAACTAATTTTGAAGAGAGTCGGTGACACTTCTAGAAATTTTAGAATTACAAATTTTTCCCACCTTTTTCTAGAAAATAACGTCGCAGTTATTTTTTTTAATATGATGTGTATGATATTAGAAAAAATAAAAGGAGTTGAGAAATTTGTTAAGGCACTGTTTGGATTGAACGTAAATGAAGAAAAGGAAAGGAAAGGGCTTTGGAAAATTTATAAACACATAATAAGTTTTTTAGAAAATTTCAAATCTTCATGAATTTTGGTGTGTTTTCCGTCGGCTTTGAGAAAAAATAACTAGATTTTATCCCTCCCTTTCTTTCCATATCCTTTCCTTTACCTTCTCAAAAAAATCAGTCCAAATGTTTGGATCCATCAGTTTTTGAAAAATTAGTTTTTCAAATACTATAAAA